GAGGAAGGATGGTGTTACTATAGAAATTCCAGGGCCGGGAGCCTGTGTAGTCTCACTGAGGAGGAATCAGACCATGGAGCAGGATGGGAGATTTGTAGAGAAGCCCAGTGGCAGGCACTGACTCACTCCCCCAATTGTACCACCTTAGCCACTCACAGTTTGTTCTCAGCATGTAGCCCATAGACCAGGTGTTCCATAAAAGCTTATTGAAGGAATGAGGACTAGAAAAGGGATCGGTTGAGGTGCTCATGCCTGTCCCTTTTGTCCTATATTCTAGTGGGGAAATGGTAGACCACTGGTTCTCAACCTTGGTTGCATGCTGGGATCATGTGGAGTGCTTTGGAAAATACTGATGACTGGGTCCCACACCTACAGATTATGATCAAATGGCCCTCAGCAGAGAACTGGGAATGCTCAGAGCCTGATACATGACTGGGATGTGTAGCAAAGACAGAGGCTGGCTGAAGCAGTAGGACTAGCACTAGCCAGAGGCAGCATATAACAGAAAAGACTCTACGAGGACAAGGGTTACTAAATGACGATTGCCATTGTTCCAAAGAGATTTCTCCCTAGCCACACATTCCATGAGGCTGTGTAGGCAAATTTCTAATCTTCACAGAAGGAAAAGAGGTTGAGCTCAAAGAGATGTGGGTGAGAAGACATCGGTTTCTCCCTTCTAAGTCGGAGGGGACTAGATATAGGGCTTTCCTTGGTGTGTCTGCACGACTGTTTGAAGCCATACCCTGATGGCTAGCATTCCAAACAGCAGGGTACTGGTGATGCTGACTTAGAGCTCACACCATTCTACAGCTCAAGCCTGCACATGTTCTCTGATTCCAGGAGAAACATGGAAAGGTTTGGACTGTGTCTGCAGCTTGAAGTCACATACCACTTCTCTTTGATCTAGTTCTAACAAAACTCATTTCCTAAAAGCTCAATGGATAGGTTCACTGTCTTCAAATGCACTCAACTTTCTTTGTTCTAATTTAACTGATATCTATCTGTCTCTGTCTGTCTATCATCTATCTAGCAGGTATTGGATTGACTACCTCTAAGAGACACTTTTATTTAATTTCTTGAAGCTAAATGGAAACAAATGGAACTTGCATTGCATTTACTGCCTTATTTGCTTCTTTGTTACACCAAGACAGGTGATGTTCCAGGCCGGCTTGAAATAAGCTATGTAGCCCAAACCTGCTTCCATCTTGCCATCTTCCTGCTGCCATTTCCTGAGAGCTAGGGCTACGGTTTTGCTTTTATTTTATAATGAAAATTTCTTAACATCACATGAGCTTCTCAATAGACACCTTTTGCTATTGCCTTGCATTCAACTTTCTGTCAAGTGTAGACATATGTTCATGTGGGACTGTTTACATGTACAGACTCAGATCAATGTTCTTAGATCAAGCTTTCAGGTACCTTCTCCTACCAGAAGGCCTCCAGAGAAGGTGTGTGTTTATGTAAGACAAGTGGAACACACCTCCTCCCTAGCCCCCAAAGATTTCAGTTCTTGGGCTGTGTCCTTCATCATTTTGCTATTGTAAGGCTCCTGTTTATGTGGTTATGGAAGAGTGGTTGCTATGGCAATGCGATCTGACTGAACACCAGAATGCATCTAAAATTGGTGGAAGCGACTTTTTCAAGGTTTCCTCTAAGGATTAATCATTTTCCAAGAATTCCCCCCGCCCGCCGTTTTCCTGATGGAATAGCGTTACCAGAGCACTCTTCCCAGCCTCCGATGAGGAGATCACAGGAGTGAGCCAACATTCCCTACCCACTCTGGGCTCTTTTAACCTGGCTATTTTTCTAATTCTCCTGTCTTCTCTTTGTCCTTCTTGAATCCCTAGCTAAGGGCATGCCCTAAACCTCTATCTCCTTCTACCTCCTAACACTCTAATCTCTAATGTGCCTTCATTCCTTCTCTCTGCCCCCCCCCCCACACCTTGTTGTTTCTACAGGGTTCCCAAGTCAGGCTGTAGCCTAATCTTGAGTTCCTACCCATAGCTCTATGTACTGGACATCTTTCTCAGAAGAATCCTGGCAAGCCTGGCATTCTCCATCTCCTCCCACACTCTACAAGGCTCTCAGCCTGTGTCTAAGTACAAGGATCACACAAGGACATCCCTGCTGGACAGGTCTGAATCTTGGAAGGCCAATTCCAGCCTTCTTAACACCTGTCACATGGAGATGTCATTGTTTGAGTCTCATGTCTTTCCTGGTGAGGACAGGAGCTGTGTCTTCCTCTTCGTTGGTTCCTAAGAGCCTGGTACACACAGATGTGTAAGCAGTGTGCCATTGCCACCTTTATTCTCATCCTGCCAAACTGTCTCCATCAGCCCCACGATCTCCTGTTTGCCACATTCAGAGCTCTGTTTTGAGGAACCTCCATTGGCTTCCTTTTGCTTTACATATGCTGATAGATGACACTTCCATCACAACTTCCCTCAAATTGGCTCCAATTCCGCACTATAATCTTATTCCTTGTCTCAGACTGTATTTCATTTCAACCAGGGCCTGACTCTCAGCGCAGCAGCTACCTGATGTGAGCCTCTTTATAGACAGTCTCCAGATTCACGACCCACACGTTGACATTACAGGCTTGATGCTAACTCTGTCCCTGTTGACCCTTCTCCCCACTCAGTCCAGACCTCTGTCTACTTCTCTGCTCACCTTGTCCCTTTAGACTCTCTGACTTGGATTAGAGTTTACTCCACCAGCTCTTCTCCCATGGCTTCAGTTTGGTTCCCTGCTCATATGTTAAAAGACTTAGACCCTCAAGATGTGATCTTATATGGGGCTATTGTAGATCTAAGTGGCTAAGATGAGGTCACGCTGGAGGGGGATGTATCCAATTCATAACACTGTATCCTTATAAAAGGGAGAAATTTGGGCACAAATACACACACACACACACACACACACACACACACACACACACACACACACACCATACCATGGGAGGAGACTGGGGGAAGAACACAGCTATCAACAAGCTATGGGCACAGGCCCAGGACAGGCCATTTTATCTAGCCCACAGAAAAACCAACTTGCCAATGTCTTGATTTTGGACTTGGGGTCTCCACAGCTTGGAGACAGTCAACTTCTGTTGTTTAATCATTCCCACTGTGGTACAGTTGTCTCCCGTACTGCTTTCCTCTCTTTCCACTCCCTGTGCCTTTATGTACACTGTTAGCCAGAGGTACCAGGGCTGTTGTGTTTCTGAGCCTTTGAGTTGTGTTCTGCTGGACAGGATCCTGCACCACGCAGGACAGACCTTGTCTTTGTGCTTCATTTCACCTCTTGAAGAATAAGTCGAGTTAAATTGAATTTACCCTTGCTCCCAGTCAACACTGCATAATTTCTGTAAACCCACCAAGGTTGGAAAGGAGGGCAGGGTCCCAGCATGCCACCAGCAGACTGACCAGTACACTATGGGTTCTTGATCTCAGGGAGCACATGGAGACACAGGTCATTAGGCTTGGATAAGAACTCAGGGTGTGTCTACTCTTTTGTGTGTGTGCATGTGTGTGTAGGGGTACACATAGGTATGTGTGCACATGGAGGCCAGAGGTCAATGTCAGGTATCTTCCTCAGTCACTTGCCACATTTTTTTTTTTAAAAAAATCTGAGTCTGTTCCTGAACTGGATCTTGCTGGTTCATCCAGATTGGCTGGCCAGCAGGTACCACAGAACTTCTTGTCTGTCTTTCTGGCCCTAGGATGACAGGCACCTGTCACAGGACCTGGAGTTTTCTTTCTTTTTCACACGTGTGCTGGGGATCCAAACTGAGGTCCTTAGGCTAGGTGTCAGGCGTCTTACCAACCAAGTCATCCCCCAGCCCCTGCTCCAGTCCTCTTGGTATACCGATGAGGATGTGGAGGTTCAGGGGTGATAAGCTGTGACATCACAGGGGTGAGAGGCAGAGCGAGCACTGTTGTGGAACAGTCTTTTTGTACACTGTGAAGATATGTTGCTCTTATGCTAAATGGCCAATAGCCAGGCAGGAAGAGGTTAGGTGAGACTTGCACACAGGGAGAGAGCTCTGGGATGAAGGAGGGCAGAGTTGCAGGAGGGGCAGGGAGAAGCAAGATAAGCATGCTATGTTGAGGAAAGGTACTGAGCTATGTAGTAGAACATACATAAGAAATATGGGTTAATTTAAGTTGTAAGAACTAGTTAGTAACAAGCCTAAGCTATCGGCTGAACATTTATGATTAATAATAAGTCCCTGTGGGACTTATTTGAGAACTGGCTGGTAGAAGAGAAAATTCTGTCCACAGAGCACTTGCCCTGGGTCCCTGCTTTGGGCAGGTATCAGTGCTCATACAGATTTCTGCCTCAATCCAAGCGGATTCTGATTACCCATCAGGGTTAGGTGTGGTCTAGGGGAGACATAGCTGTATACTTCTAGTGTGAACTCCTATGTCTGCACTACTGTGACCTGATGCTGAAGTGGTTCTGGGGCACAGCAAACAGGAAGCTAAGAGCCCTAACTGAAAGCCCAGACCTTTCCAGTACAAAATTCACAGAGAGCACACGTCAGAATTCAGTCTCTAATTTCAAAACCCATGAATGGATTGAAGTCAGCGACCATGGAACATGCTTACCACATACCCGTTGTTCTTCAAACTGTATTTAAGGGGGTAACTGGCCTGAGAAAACACTGTGATATTGTTAGGTTGAACGTATAGACCGGGGAAGAAAGGTGAACTCAGCCAATCACAGCTGTGGGTTCTGAAGGGCTTGCTGAGGGCACCGGTGGTTTTAAAATCGGCCTTATTTTCTCCAGTGTGCACTCCAAATTCTGTGGTGAGTGTAGATTATTTGTGAGAACCTAAGAGTGATTCTATCTTGAGACTGAAAGTTTGAATTCTGTGTTTATCAAGTGATTGTAGCTGTCGAGCCTCGTTCTCCATGGCTTTGCAATAATCCTGCCCTCTGAGACTCATCTCCCAGAAGAGAGGAAGTCCCACCCCATGTCTGTAAATGCTAGTACTTACATTCGGAGTATTTCTGGAGTTGATCAAATTCTTCTGATGAGAGGGAGACCCATCGTCCTTCACTCATGTTTCAGACGAGTGTGCTCAACCAAAGCCACAGGTGGAGTTCTGTTCACCAGGGAGAAGTCAAGGCCCAGATCAGGGCCTGGCTCATTGCAGATACGCAATGGATCAGGTCTTCAGAAGACTTCTAGAACACTCAAGTGTTGATGAGAGTTGTGGGCAGCTCTCGACGGCTGACAAAAGACTTCTGCTATTCCTCAGGCAACATACTCCTGCTGTAGTCCAGGCCAATCCCCAAATCCTGGCAATTCCTGAATGGAAGCAGAGAAGCCATTGTAAATAAGATAAAAGCTGGGGGTGGAGTGGGATTGGATAGGGAATCCCAACATGGTCTTCTGTTGAAAGAGAGAAATAATTCAGTATTTCTTGAGGGTGTAGTCTACCTTCAGGGAGGTCTGAAGAGGGAACAAAAGCCAGCACATGGCATCCCTGCTCCATTGTCTGGCTGAATGGCAGAGGGGAAACTGGCCTGTGTGACAGTATGGTCATACTTCTTACACCAGGGATGTCTTCCACAAATGGTGCTATTAGGTTCCTAGAGGCACAGAATGAAAATGCTCCTGGCTGTTACATGCTCCCAGAATCCTACAGGTACAGTAGCCTATGCAACTGGTTTGAAAGAGGAACCTTCCCAACTTCGTTGATGTCTAAATCTTCCTACACGGCTTCAACTTTGCATTGGTGGGCCACCATGGAAATTCAGGTAAGCTCTAGGCTTGCAGCCTGTAGTGTGAGGGCAGTTCTCAGAGCCACTGAAAGGCTTGTAGAGGAGGGCCTGTCAGCCTCCAGGTACAGGTTCTGGGGCAAAGGGAGGTGGAGGGACAAGAACACAGGGGCATTTTCCTTTAACCTTTTTGTGTCCCAGTGTGTTTCATTAAATCAGTTTTGCAAGTGACAAAATGAAGGCAGTGGGCCAGGATTGGCATTTAAAGAATGAAACAGAGTTGGATGGAAACGCAAGTGCTTTCACTGTAGTAAGCTGTGTTTCAGGAGACTGTCCTTTAAATTATATTTGCTTATTTTGTTCTGGGTCAGGGATAGAAATGGTTGGTAAACCTTTGGCAGGATAGGAGGATATGGAAAGAAACTGGTTCTAATGTTACAGAAGAATAGAGCCGAGTGGTAATGCCATAGGGTCTACTCTGGGGCCAACTTCAAGGTCAGTCTGAGGAGGCCCAAGTGTGTTAGCAATACAGGAAGGAGGTCCCAGAAGGGAGACACAGTTAAGATTCTCTATCATAGTGTATAGTCATGGCTGGTGCTGGCCTGCCTGAGAGGGTGGCACTATCTCCAGGGTTTGAGATTCTAGCTCCATAAAAAAGGACAGTGGTGTGAGGTGGCCAGGGGGTGAGATGCCTGGAGGTGTTCATGGTGATCTCTCTCTTCCAAGAAGGCCAATGTCTCCTTAACCTATTGGCAGTCTGGATTTGTTTTTCAACATCTGCTCTTCTGAAGGTCACAAGTTCAAAACCTACAGGTCCTTCTCAGTCCCTCTGAGCTCTGTTCTCTCTGTGGGCATCCGGTTTCCAGGCAGGAAACCCTTGCCTTGAACCTTACATGCCTTCCTGAGAGTTCCTGCCTGCAGGCTCCATCATCATCTTTTGCCATCTCTAAGCAGATGCGACTCTTCAGCCTGCTTTCATTCCCCACAGAACTCACGCATCGCTTCTGTGACTCCCCTCCCCAGCACTGAGTCCTATCCTGAGTCCAGATCTGAATGGTCAGCGATCTGCAGATCCTGTACTTGGGTATGACTGCCCAACTATCTCTTGAGACCCTTCAACATTCCAAATTACCTTCCGAAGCACCTGCCAGGACCCTCCTCCTGCTTCTCATCTGTTCTGCAATCACTCAAAAGACTCACCTGGCAGGCTAGAGGCTGAGGCCCAGCCTAAGCTCGCCACCTTCCCTCCTGTCAAACCCAGCAGTGGTCCCGTGCTGTGCTGACCCTCCCTTCGCCAATTTTTGCACTTCCCCTGCTCTGCTCTTTCCCATGGCCAGCCAGATCATATCTCTCCCGCCAATACAATCCTTTAGTGTGTTCTATTGCCTACACAGGAATTTTTTTTTGCGAAGCCATCTAAGATCTGGGTTCTCAGAACTGGTTCCCCCTAATGAAGTGACACGTGGCTCTGTTGCTGTCTCTATTTAATAGAGGAGGAAAAGAAAACTAAGAGCTTAGTAAAGAGGGTGAAACAAACAAGCAAACAAACAAACAAACAAAACAGGAACCACCGACATGTTTGTTTAAGAAAGCCTCTGTGAGAGAGCCCTGTGTGGCAATCCATGCCTAGAACCCCAGGATCCAGAGGCGAAGGCAGGAATGTGAGTGTGAGGCACCCTGACTCAAACAACATAGAACAGAAAGCAAAGCAATGTCTCTGCGGCTTCAGTACCGTGCACACCCCATGAGCGCAGAACTCTAAGAGGACTCAGAGCCACATAGCAAGTTAGAACAATGCCGACTGCAAAATCAGAAGGCAAGCAAGGACTGTGGCTCTGGGCTTCGCCTCTCATTGATTATTTGACAATTTTCTAGGTGATTTTCTCATTTCTTGAATTTTTTTTTCCTTTTGAAAATGACGATACAATAGGGAAAAATGTATCTGATGTTACGATTGGGTCAATATATGTACAACCCTCCCTCCAACACAATGCCTGTAATGCAGTGATATTCAACAAAAATGACTGTTCCCAACACCTGATATGAAAGTGAGGGTAAATGCTGGGGCCAATGGGGCGGCAGAGATGCCTCAGCTGGAGACGGCATTTGCTGCCAATCCTGATGGTGCTGGAAAGAGAGAACCAACACTCAGTTGTCCTCATGGCTTCCACTCATGCACATACACGCAATCAATAAAAAAATGTAAAAGAAAATCAAAAGGAAGTTTGAATGGAGATATCTTTCATAGCGAATGACACTGTTCCCAGAAGTCATAGGTTATTAAGGAATAGCCAGTGCCAGGTGTGGGGTACCACCACTTCCTTATGCATTACTGTTCGGGAGGGTGACAGAAGCCCCACAGACAGTCTAGGCCATTGCCATTTCTCTTGGCTGTCTACCAGTAGAAGTAAAACCTTATTCCTGAAGTCACCACATACTTTGGTTGCAGGACATAATGGCATCAACCAAGAATTGAGTCTTTTGATGCATAGCTTCCATAGTGCCAGAAGGTGCTATGTAGGCCTCTGTGGGAGAATTGACACCAAATGTTCTCCCTTCTTGTGGACTACACAAACACCATGCTGGGCAAGATGTGCCCAATGATGCAATTGTGGCAGAACTAGTATGGGGAGAACCAACCACTTCCTGATTGGATTTCAGGCCTGATCCACAAGACAGAATTCATGCCCAGTACTATAAACCTGGTCAAAAGCCCATGGCTGGGGAGGTCACATCTTCTAGTAGGGAACCTACTTCTATTGCATTGTTAACATGTTGTCAAGCTACCATCTAAATATTTCTGTTTATAACCATACATTAGTGCCTGATGAAGGGGCTATTGGCAGTTAATGGCTACTGGTGGGGAGGGAGAGCCATTTGCTTCACTGGTGTCATTTCTGGTAAGTTTCTCATGCTCCAACAAATAACCCTCCACCTATGTCATTCAAGCAACTCTAATTAAACTCAGTGGTCATAAAAAACAATAGTCATGAAAGCAAGAGGGAGACTTGTTGGGATGCAGGGCTCTAAAGGACATGGAAAGAGCCAGGACAGGGTCATCTGATCAAATCGCATTGTAAAGGTGTGAAATTGTCAGTGAATAAATAAATGAATATATGAAAGGTTTTCACCCTGTCACAGATGTGGCACTTAGCAATATGGCTAAGGATCAGGCAAGAGCAGTTGGAAGAAGGTTTCCAGTGTGCCTCGGGTTTCTGAACTTGATCTCATCCTGCTCCAGGTTATTGTAATCTTGTAAGTACTCATCAAAATTTTATCCACCGGTTTCAGCACTCACCGCTGACTCTGACTAAATGATTATGAGGATAATGGTTTTACAATTTAGTCATTCATTTTATATTAACCAAGAGTTTATAGAAGGAGGAGGGGCCTTCCCTGATATTTTATTATGTCATCATACACAGCAGCAGATGTATGAATTTATTTATATCAGTGCATACAGTATTTACATATGCTATATAGTAATATATACCACAGTATATATTCGTATACCAATGTATGAATAATCATAACATATAAATACATTTGTATAAGTAGTAAATAATTATGTATTAAGTCTCAATGCACATTAAACTGGAATATAATATTTTGCATTATTTAATTAATAATTAGATAATAAAAACCACAGGTACTTACTTTACTCTATGGGTTCATTTGTTTGAATTCTCAAATTGTCCCAGATTTGAACAGATCATTTCAAGTGTTTTCTGTTTTAAAACATATGTCTGTATTCTTTGAGTCCATTTTAGTTTCTGGTGCTATAAGATTTTCTGGTTCATCTTGATTTCATCAGCCCTAGTTCTCCAGGGAGCCCTGATTCCTTTAAGTGGGGGATATTTGAAAGCAAGGTTTGGACCGTAAGTATGAGGTTTGTCATTGTTTCTTGGTTGTATCAAAGGCAGAGCTAGTAAATATATGCATGTCTGTCCGTTTGTCTATCTGTCTTGGCTAGCTTGTTTTTGTTTTTAAATCAACTTGAGACAAGTTATAGTTACCTGGAAAGGGTATCTCAATTAAGAAAATGTCCTCACCAGATTGGCATGTGGTGCATTTTCTTGATTAATAATTGGTGTGGGAGGACTCAGCCTATTGTAGGCTGTGCTGCTCTTGAGCAAGTGGTCCTAGGCTATATAAGAAAGCAGGCTGAGCAAAGCATGGTAAGCAAGCCAGTAAGCAGCACTCCTCCATGGCCTCTGCTTCAGTTACTGCCTCCAGGTTTCTGCTTCGAATTCCTGCCGTCTTCCCTCAGTGATGGAGTGTGGTCTAAAAGTTTGTAAGAAGAAATAAACCCTTTCCTCCCCAAGTTGCTTTTGGTCACA